TTTGTGCCCTAGTCAGGAGCTGGCACTGATCGAGAGTAGAGGTTCAGACCGCACGAGAAGTAGTGATGAAATACACAGGGATTGATGGTAGGATACAGGATAGCGGACAGTACTTTATTCTTAGTCTTCAAGTTCTTATATACGTATTTCTGGAGTAAGGGTTTTAGGAGAGTACCTATGCTTGAGGTTGACCGTATCTATCGAGTTCTGAGATGTGGGGTGCTAATGATTCTAGGAAGCGGATTCGGAGTGCGTATACGAAGCGGGAGATGTGGACGAGGGATTAGATGTACTCGGGGTTCTTAGAAGACGAGGGTCCGGATGAGACGAGGATCCGGAGTTACGAATAGACGAGGATAGATGCTTCTTTGATTAATGAGGGTGAAGTGTCGATTGATGTGGGGTCGAACTGAGACGGGGACTGAGATTCACCCTCTTCACTGTCGTTCATTTCAACAGAGATGGATGTGGATCCCCATAGGCGTTTGTTCCAAGTGCAGTCCGAGGTAGATGGTTAGCGGCCTCTTTGTGATATCGAACACACCTCCGAGAGCCCTGAGGAAATCCTGAACGATCTCTTCGGATGATCCTCCCACCAGACCGTCATCGACGAAGATAACCACGATGAGCCGCTCAGCTCCGACTTGTTGGTAGACGCACTGGTCTGCGAAGCACCTCGTGTTGAATTGGCGTGGGCTCTGTCGAAGCCCGTACAGGCTCTCCAGAAGGCGACAGACCCTTCCGGAGCCGTCGTTGAATCCACCCGGCTGTTCGATGTAGATCTCCTCGTCGAGATCTGCGGTGAGGAATGCAGTTGACACATCGAAAGGCCTGAAAGTTAGGTTTTGCTTTGCTGCAATTGACAGGGCGATTCGAACGGAGTCGTATTTGGCTACTGGGGAAAATATTTCATTGAAGTCTATACCTTCTATCCGAGTGAATCCCTTGGCGACCAATCTGGACTTGAATCTTTCTATGTTACCTAAGGGTCTTTCTTTGCCTTGAATACCCACCGAGTCTTGATCACGCGGCGGTTTGGCGGGAGCCCTGCAAGTTCCCAAACTCCGTGAAGTTTCATTGCTTCTATCTCTTCGCACATAGCTTGAAGCCATTCCTGTCTATACTCTGACTTATATACATCATTCAAGTTCTGTGGCTCGTCAGCCACTTTATCTGCAGATCTTACACTTTCATCTTCGTTAGCCTGTGCGTCGGCTACAGCGGCGATGAGCCGATCGGGTCTCCGTAGCTTCTCCTTCTCTCGCAGCCCCGCTCTCCGTCTCCCGTGAGAAGCTTGAGTCGACTCTTGAACTGTTCCATTCCTTTGGTCGGGAGAGGAGGTTCCGTCAGCTTGCGCGCTCCTTGATGTCTCGCTCCCGTCTTCTTCGTTGCTTTCTTCGTTTTCGTTGTTTGATGCCGGTGGTTCTCCGGCTTTAGCGTCCTCGAGTAGTGGTTCTTCCTTGCTGATGCGAACGTCTTTCGTTCTGACTACCGAGGTGGATCCAGGAATCCACACACGATAAGAGAGGCCGTCTTCGTCAATTCCGACGATTACACCTCGGTAGCTACCCTCGTCGAGCTTCTTTTTGTTGGGATCTCGATTATAGTAGAAGCATTTTGTGCCGAATGGTTCTATCAGCTTGAGATAGGGTTTTCTCCCCGTGAACATTTTCAAACGGAGACCTGCCCGTTTCTTCGTTGATGTTGAGACAATTCAGCACGTGTGCTGCGAAGTTGACCGCTTCGCCCAAGACTTCGATAAATTAAAAAATGTGGATATCGTTGCTTGTGCCCTTGCACGTGGTACAAATGTGCCGCAAGTAGCTGAAGAATTGCATCGCCACCAGGAACGGCTGACGTCACAACAATTGATCGAGAGAGCCATCGATATAGTTTCGAATCTGAAA